AATAAGGTAAAGAGATTTTGCAAGTTTATGTCATACAGAAAGTACCTCTACTATTATCTGACAGGATTAATCCTAATCTCATGCCTGCTAGAACTGAGGGGGAAGGGAAATGTAACTATGTGGTAAATTGACATTTTGAGGTAAGGAAGCTTTCAGAGTGCCTATCTCTAGTAGGCCACATTTTCCTACTCCAAATGGAAACTTTAATGTTGCCAGCCAAGCCTCATTCCCTCTCCTGATAAGCTAGTTCTCAAATATGAATGTAGATTAATCCTCTTTTAATAAGCATTAACTCAGCCCAGAAAATCAGAGTATAAAAATTCCATCAAATCTTTTAGCTCTCTTTGGATAGTTTTGTCAAATAATTTATATTTTACCAACAGTTTTAAAGCTATGTAAGAAGTGTTTAGCATTTCATAATTTGCTTACTCAATAATATATTGTTTATATTTACTGAGTTTCATAAAGCCTGTTATTCTCAGATGTAATATAATACTTATAAAGTATCACTCACCCCTTTAGGTGCAAAATATATACTTTCATTAAAAAGTTGATAACTTAAAAATTGTGAATAAGAAAAGTGAACAAGGTAAGTTTGAAAAGAGTCATTAGCCTTCATGAGGATTATAAAATGGATATATATGAGTATGTATATTATATATACATATAGCTACATAGACCTCTCCTGTGAGCTACATGGTTTTTATTCAAACTTACGTTGTTTATTTATCTATTCACAAATACTGTTATACCCGTGATCAAACATTTACTCCAGATTCAAAAATCACCTCATATGCTCTGTTTTTTCTGCCCAAATCTTTTTACAACTCATTTGATGTTACAACAATTCAAGTGGTGAATTAGTCGAGCAGTCATGAGCCTCACAAGCAGTGACAAGTAGACTTTTAGTGCTCAATGGAGCATAAGATAAATAACATTGTATGATGCTGTATGAAAGTATAAAATGATTTCACATAGAATATAAGGATTCCCTTTTTTGTTGTTGTTCAAGCTGCCTTTCTTTGCACCATATGCAAAGAGGTGACATGTGATTATATCTGAAGAATTAAAGAAAGGATAAATAGGAAACAATTGAATAAGAAGTTAGCATGTAACATTGCCTGGGGAAATCTCCACTATCTGCTATGTAAAGAAACAAAGTATATTCAGGCCAAATTCTCCTCTCAGATCATTTAAATATATGTTTGCATTTAATTCATTATTTTAAGGTTATTTATTTATTTTGAGACAGCGGGAGTGTCAGAGAGAGAGAGAGAGGAGGAGAGAAAAGCCCAAGCAGGCTCTGTGCTGCCATGGGGCTTGAACCCAGAAATCGTGAGATCATGACCCGAGCTGAAGAGTAGGACACTTAACCAACTAAGCCACCCAAGCGCCCCTGCATTTGATACTTGATATTCATTTTTACAATGTAAGGTGTCATTCACTAGTGTTCTATGATAAATATGTTAAATCCTCCAATATATGAAAAATATCAATACTGAGTAGCATGTTTTTATTTTATTTCCTTCTAAACATTCAAATATAATTTTCCACATGACAGATACACAAAGATTAGCTTTAAAAAAAGTCAGTAAGTTTTTGCCTGCACAGGGTGAGTGGAAGGCTGCCTGCTGAGAGTTAGAATTTCCAACCTGAAAGATATTGAAATGTCTTCCCACCAGTTAAAATCTTCCCTGTTCTACTTCTAGTGGTAAGAGGAGATTTGGAATGAAGCAGAGAAAAGGGAGTGCCGAAATCAAATTTTACCTGCTTTACAATTCTACTTAGAGTCAGTCAAGCTTTATTAAAATGCATGTATAGGGGCAGCTGGGTGATTCAGTTGGTCAAGCATCTGACTTCGGCTCAGGTCATGATCTCAAGGTTCCTGAGTTTGAGCCCCGCATCAGGTGAGCTTCAGCCTCCCCCCCAACATAGGGTGAGTTCAAGTCTCCCTTTGGGTGAGCACGGGTGCCCCACTGGGTGAGATCGAGACCCGCGTCAGGAGCCTCACTTTGGGCTCCATGCTGATGGTGCAGAGCCTGTGTGAGATTCTCTCTCTCTTGCCTTCTCTCTGCCCCTTACTCAGTTGCACCCTCTCTCTCTCTCAAAAAAAAAAAAAAAAAAGTAAATAAAACAAAATAAAATAAAATGTGTGTATATATGCAAATTGCACAAAATATATATTATATCTTAATATATATAAATTGCACCAGATGTTTAAGTATAATCCAAGATCACAACTGAGGTTGGAAAGAAAGGAAATATCTTATGTTACAAAATTAATCTAAATACTTATCCCAAAATAGACTTTTTGTTTATTTAGGGAAAAAAATTACCAATGCTCTCATGAATTAACAATAAAGTTTGGACACTATATAGACATTACCATGTAGTAAAAATGTGAAAACAGTAGGCTTTCCATTTTGTGAGAAAAATGACATTGCTTTCATACTGGTAAAATTTAAAACATTCCCAGAGAAGTTTTATGAAAACCAAAATATAAATAGAACCAGTACAAATCAAGTATATTCCCTATAAGTTTTATAACACACTTCAAAGAAAGAAAAAAATAGCCTTGTATGAAATCTTTGTGCTCCTACAACATCAGAAATTTAAAACTTTGATACATATTCCACTAATCATTCCTATTTAAAATCCCCATTTTTAAAGTTGTATAAGGACAAGAATATGAAAATTTTAACAGGTGAAGGGTAAGATGTATATGGACGGAGATTATAAAAAAGATCATAAAGTCAGATATACATTGCTAGGTACCTGTGGTTTGGATTTTCATTTGCTTCTCACTTAGCAGAGAACATCACTTGCTAGAAGGCAAATTATTAGTTGAAGGTAAATCCATTCTGGGAGTCAGCCATCTATCAATTAAGTATAAAGGTTTTGAAAGGCTGCTCTCTGGCTTGGCCTTATTCCAAAATATTTGAAGGGCATAGCACCTTCTGAGTTAGCAGTTCCTCTACAAGCAGATGGATATCAATCACAATGAGAAATGATAATAGGAACTGTACTATTCTTGTCAAGCTCAAAAACCAACAGATATTTTCAAATTAAATGCATAGGTTTTAAAAAGAACTGATGTTAAAAAAAAATAAAAGGGAGAGGAAAAAGAAGAACAAGGAAGTCTGATATAATTTTACTAAAAGCACAAACCTAAAAGTTAAGAGAACTATGTTATTTGTAAGGAGTGAGGGAATGAATGTGGGGGATAAAAATGCAATGCCTCGAATGTGGATATCTTAGAACTTTGCAGTGAAACTAGCACGGTCAATCTTTTATTATTTTCACTTAGGTCAAGCAAAGGGATAAACATAAACTAGTCCATGAATTAAGTCAGTTCTTCCCTATGATTTAGATGATTTGTACGTGCATCACAGGGATGAACTGTAACATGGTGATTGACTAAATAGATGGGTTGATGGACAATACCTACAAAGAGTGAAAGTAGAGGACTGGACTGCAGAACAAGAAGTACATTAAATATCACGAATGTTCAAGACTCTGACACTTGGCAGTTATTACCTAGTATTCCTTGGTGGGAAGAATGCCTCCCTGATGTGGTGAGATAGCACTCAGAATGATAAAACACAAGGGAGAAACCATCAGCGACCAATGGAATATGAGAATGGGAGAATGACTGCAAGTCACAAAGTTTGGAATCCCCTTTTCAATGGATACACTATACTGCTTTCTCTAGTCTTTGAAACGTAGTCTAACCAGTAAATAATAAGCTTTATTTTCATAAGATACAGATATGAGCTATAACGTTAGAATCAAATCATCATATTTAAATACTGTGAAATAACCAGTAAGACAACCAAGCGGGTCCTATCCCTTCCATTTTGCAGTATTTAGACATTATCAGTGGCTTAGAAGCCTACAAGCTACAGCAGCATATCAGCTTAATAAACTATGAAGTTTCTGTCAAAATCAGTTATTAAGACATTTATAAACATTTAAACTTAAAATTAAAACTAGAAATAGAAGACTGAATAAAATGTGTCAAAAATTCTAAAATGTTTGTAGGATGATGTTAAATGAAAATTATTCCCTTCTAAATTCTAGAAAGAGTGAAATATTGTGAGACAACTTATTTTTATGATTGTTGTTAGAGGAAATACTTAAAATGAATTGCAATTAAAGTGATTATTAACTATAGCTTCATTACTGAGTTCACTCTTCTAATCACTGACTTGATAATTCCACCCCCTCCCCTATCTCCTCTGCCTCAGAAATGTTTTGAAGGTCACAATTTTTGACTCCTTGGAATTCTGTTTCAGACTCTAAAAAGAAAACATTTTTGCAAATAGAATATCTAGGATCTTCTTTTTCTTCTGCTTCTTTTCCTTCCCATTTTTCTTCCTTCTAAAATGATGATTGGCTACCTTGAAACAGACACCCTCTTTAAGTGATTATGAAGTCATTTAATTCATGCCTCACCAGTCTTATTAATTGTGATGAGATTTTTTTTGCTTATTTTTATTTGCCTTCCGGGACATGTCCTATTGTAATCTGCATCTTGAAATACTAAAAGCTATATTTTAAATATTTTTGTTCTCACTGAGCATGTTAGTAACGCTCTTGCCTAAATCCACTTCTCAAATAATGGCTGCATAGCATGCAGTCTGTGTGTGTGTGTGTGTGTGTGTGTGTGTGTGTGTGTGTGTGCTGTGCTTGTGAGTGAGTTTTGAAGAACTACTTGAGAAAAAAATGGTTACACATATCCATGTGCATTCTTGTTGCACTTCATCGGAGATACAAGCAAAAAGCTTGCCTTATGTTTATAACGTAATATGGTGAAAAGAGATGCATTAAAGCACGTTGTTTATAATTGCATTTTACAGAGCAGGTGTTTAAAACAAGCCCAAAACATCTATTCATTCATTCGTTCATTCACTCATTCGTTATTCAATTCCATTCCTTCTCTTTCATTTCATTACATTCCTAAAGTTAAGAGGTTTTCTTAGCTAGAGACAGTCTCTTACCAGCATAATTACTGAGCCCCTTTCTCTTCTTTCTTCGCCAATACAACCAGATGCTAAAACCCATCAAGATTACCCAGCAGGCACCACCAATACCAGCTATAAAGGCTGGTTGCTTCACAACATCAGTGATTTGTTCAGTTATGCTGTTATTGTTTTCAGTAATGACAACTTCATTACGTCCTCCTGTGGAAGAAATAATAGTTTTAGTAAACATTATTATGAAAGTCAACACAGGAATACCTACATGGTGTACCAAAGACAGAGAAAATTATAAAATTCCTATGAAGGCAGGTAATAATTGTGCTCTGAGCCTGTCAAAATTATTGATAAGCGTATATTATACGTTTCAGAAGAAGAATCAAGTTATGAGTTTAAAATGTGATTAAGAACATTGCTCCCTTATGCTTGGGGTTACTATGAATAGATTCAGAACTGCTTCTTGATTTATTGCCTTATCAATAAGTACTAATGCAAGTGCTAGTGGGCAAAATAACAGCAACGTTTCTTCAGCCAAATAAAGCATATTTTAACATAGTCTTGCTAAAATAAAATTTAAAAAAGCAACTACAACATTCACAGGGTATTTATAAATTGTCTTTCCTCTATAGCACTGCCTAAGTTGAAGTGTTCAAGATTTAAAAATAGGTAACTTAATATTATCCTTAATATTCTAACAGGGAATTTATTTTGATCAAACAGCCTTTAATTTTTTTGGAATGTATTAAAACTACTATATAAAACAATGACAATTATAGAAGTATATTTTCATAGAGATTAGTGTCTATAATTAAAATGTCACAAAAATGGGGCGCCTGGGTGGCACAGTCGGTTAAGCATCCGACTTCAGCCAGGTCACGATCTCGCGGTCCGTGAGTTTGAGCCCCGCGTCGGGCTCTGGGCTGATGGCTCAGAGCCTGGAGCCTGTTTCCGATTCTGTGTCTCCCTCTCTCTCTGCCCCTCCCCCGTTCATGCTCTGTCTCTCTCTGTCCCAAAAAATAAATAAACGTTGAAAAAAAAATTAAAAAAAAATGTCACAAAAAGATAAATCTCACATATTCCTTTAAAACTAAACTAATTTGAAAATCCACTTGTAGGTTTAATTAAAAAGACAACTTTAAAATTAATTCTAAGGTCTATGTTACTAAACATTTACTTTTTTTTTTTTTTTTTTTTTTTTTTTTTTAATTTTTTTTTATTTTCAACGTTTATTTATTTTTGGGACAGAGAGAGACAGAGCATGAACGGGGGAGGGGCAGAGAGAGAGGGAGACACAGAATGGGAAACAGGCTCCAGGCTCCGAGCCATCAGCCCAGAGCCTGACGCGGGGCTCGAACTCACGGACCGCGAGATCGTGACCTGGCTGAAGTCGGACGCCTAACCGACTGCGCCACCCAGGCGCCCCTAAACATTTACTTTTTAAAATTAATTTATTTATTTTGAGAGAGAGACAGAGAGCAAGCAGGAGATGGCCAGAGAGAGAGGGAGGGAGAGAGAGAATCCCAAGCAGGCTCTGTGCTGTCAGCATACAGCCCAACATGGGGATTGATCTCAGGAACTGTAAGATTCGGGACCTGATCTGAAATCAAATCAGACGCTTAACCAACTGAGCCACCCAGGTGACCCACTAAAATAAACATTTAAATCTGGACTATTATTCTAGAAATACTCATGTTTTTGAGAATTTAGACCTCTCAGAGATAATTAAAATCTTAATCCACATTTTAAAATAGTTAAAAACTCATGGAATCATAGTATCACTTAAGAGCAAAGATTTAGGTTAGGTGTTTATATAAGAGATTAAGAAATTTACACACTGATGTGAAATTATTTGTAATGTCAACATCATATCTTATTAATTACTAATCAAAGGCTTTTTAAAAGAAATCGAAATCGAAATATAAGTGGCTAATTTCAACATATTACATCCAAAGATGTTCATTGTTTTAGTTATCATGGCACTACAATATATTAGAAAGAACACGGTCTTTGAAGTTTTCTGTTTGAATATCATCCCTGCCACTTACTAGCTTAAGTAAGCAATAACCTCATGTAGGTCACTTAATCTTTTCAAGTACCTGTTTCTGCTAGTTGGCAACAGTCCTGTTTCAAATATTTGGGAGTGTTATTTAAGATAATGTATGTAAAGAGGCTGATAGGAACACAGTAGTTTGTTGATTCAAAATTAGGACCCAGGTATAGGTACAGGTTACTTTAAGAACCACTCACATAACTTCAGGGATGTAAGTTGTAAATTGTCCAGATGTGAGATCTGGAAAACCACAGATGACTTGTTTACTAGTTTCTTCTTTCTTTCAGGTCAGAAATTAACCTACATTTCCCAGACTCACTTGTAGTTGAAGTGAAACAAAGTGACTGAGTTATTGGCCAATACAGCAGGGGCACAAGTTATGCATACTACTTCCAGATCTGACCCAGACACTACTGTAACAATACTTGACATTCTCTTTCCTTCCTAATGTTAAATAGAAAGAGTGGATCTTTGGAGGATTCTGACCCCGCTCAAAGATGGCACAGCTAGTGACTGGAAGGATTGAAATTCCCTGAATAACTGTGTGGAGTAGAAGCCCCACCCATTCTGCTACTCCATACTAGACAGGGGTATGAATAAGAAAAAACAAACAACCTTTATTTTTTTAAGCCAATCAGTACATAGGCTTGTTTCTTACAGCTGCTAGTATTTTTGTTATGCATACTTATATTCTATTTCTGAAATGTCTTTTGTGTTAAATTCTAGATGTGAAAACCAGATTCACTTATGTAATAAACCTGGTTAATTTTTCCAACCTATTTGCCCTTTATTATTATACATATAAACTTAGTTTAAAATGTATTTAAAAGGGCACCTGGGTGGCTCAATTGGTTAAGCATCTGACTTCAGCTCAGGTCATAATCTCATGGTTCATGAGTTCAAGCCCTGCATTAGGCTCTCTGCCTCTCCCCTGCTCACTTGCCCTCTTTCAATTATAAACATTTAAAAAAATGTATTTAAACTGAGCTCATATTTTCAATATGAGACATACACATATCTGGCGATTTTTCTAACTACTAATAGTTACTAAAGAGAAAACAAACACCTTATAGAACAAAGAGAAGAGAAAATGTGTCCTTCATTTGTGTAAAAGGTCCATAAAATATCATATTTGGTACAGTGTGATATATATGTTACCCAAGGTTTATTACTATTTCTTATGCTTCTGGTATTTTTGAAAAATGTTGTCAGTTGGACTAATTAGAGTATAGACAAGGGATGCATGTGACCTGTAACGCTCCATTGTTCTTGCAGACAAAAAATATAATGAAATGTAATGTCTTTCTCCCATTGGAGAGTAATGAAGAACAAAACTAATTTGTTGGACTAAAAATTAATTAGACACATCAGATTCGATTGTACCTATTACTGTGAAAGTTTGCAGCTGTTCCACATATTATTACCAACTATATAAGGTAAGCATTAAATGGCCAAATGATTAAAGAAACAGTAGATATATTATTAAACAAGATTGCTTGAAAATTTTAAGTCAAAGTAAATTTGTTACATGGCATACTCTTTGATGCTTACATATGTAAATATATGTGGTTGCATTTCTGTATCTGTAAATGCAACAGTACAGAACTATGGACACTTTGAGGTAAAAGTCATCTTACCAGTGGAAAATACAGACAAAAGAACAATATTGCCTTTAAACTTGTGTAAGGCTATTTATTATCTTTATACAATATTTTAATATTCCCTTAATGGAACTTTCTGGAATGAAAACTAAACTGAGAAGAAATAGATGAAACTGTGCATAGTCTGGTATGAGACAAATCTAAAGTTATCAGCCATAAATTACATCAAATGCCAACAAATGATTTAATTAAAGCAAAGTGGAAGTGTGGTAGAGCTTGAGTCCCTTTGAGTGCTGTTTCTAGTACTGACTAGAAAATAGAGAAAGCACAGATTGAAACAGAAAAAGAGATTAGCCATCCTAAATCACTTTTCAACTAAGGAATAACAGTTGTGTAGATAAGGTTATCAGACAAGATGTTAAGGTAGACGTGCTGGAGTAATTAAAGAAACAATTAAAGGCTTCTTCCGTACAACAGTAGATATTAAAAAGAAATAAATCTCTTGAGGACAAATAGCCTTTTCTGCATTGAATTGTGCGTGTGTGTGCATGCATGTGTTTTTATGTGTGAGTGCATGTATTTATTTTCAATTCTATTTGATTATAGCTTGAATATTGCATATTCTAGCTGCTTGAACAGAAGATAGAAATAGTGTTTATTACATGTTTTTATTCATAGAAAATTTGGAAACAGTTATATGATACACTAAAATAACCCAAAAGGTACTATTATACATTTGAACACAGTCCTTTTAAAATAATAGAAATTTAAGAAAATTTTATTTTTGATTTAAAATACGCTAAATTAGCTTTCTTTTTTTAAGATTACTATACAAATTGGATCCTGAGAAATTTAACAGAAACCCATGGGGGAGGGGAAGGAAAAAAAAAGAGGTTAGGGTGGGAGACAGCCAAGCCAAAGCATAAGAAACTTAAAAACTGAGAACAAACTGAGGGTTGATGGGGGGTGGCAGGGAGGGGAGGGTGGGTGATGAGCATTGAAGAGGGCATCTTTTGGGATGAGCACTGGGTGTTTTATGGAAACCAATTTGACAATAAATTTCATATATTAAAAATAAAATAAAATAAAATAAAATTACTATACAATTGTTAAAATTCTTAATTGACATCACATGAGCTTAGTTAAATGGTATTCTTGTAATGTTGTACTTGCTTCCAAGTATAATAAATTCCCCCCCAAATATGGGGAACAACACAAGTAGTCCTACAAAAAAGAAAAAAAAAACCTTCCTTTGCTTGAGAATTTTACTTATTAATAAAGGTAATAGAAAAAACAGGAAATAAAAATATAGATACTTGATAATCTTTGAATTAGACATATTACATTTCATATATGCATGAGAGAGGAGAAAAACCTTAAAGCTTTGTTTACTTATCTGTTTCTCATAGAAAACAATGCTTTTTAAAGATATTTCATAAACATTTTTTCAGGGGAAAATTAATTGCATATATATATATATGCATACATGCATTATATATATGTATACACACACACACATACACACACACACACACACACACACACACACACAC